CGCTTTCAAAGTACTGGAGTTTCTCTTTTGCACTAAAACTTCTATTTCCTGCAATATAATAATAATGAAATATATATATATATATTTATTTATGTTTGTATAAAGTTTATATATTTCTATACGTAGGTTTATGCATATCGTATATTTTAGGATAGTAATCAAATCACCCTATTTCCTCCATTTCATCCGTGTATCTTTCAAGCCTTTTTCGTTTATAATGTTTTTCTTTGCGGTCTAAGAAAAATACTCTTATGTGGCACAATAAATCATCGTTTCGTATTGCTATTTTCCATTTGATCCTTTTATCCAGTCCCACACCTTAAGCTATGATTTCTGAGAGGAAAATTTTGTTTTACTCTTCAAATCTGGGCACAACAGAAATATTCACAACCTAAAAAAATCACTGGAAACAAAAGAAATCCTTTTGATAATAAATGGAAAGTCAGCCGTTAATGCTGAAAGTAGCACCCTTTAATTGACAAATACCAACCAGCCATGGTTAATTCTAAGTTTGATAATTTTTTGAAATCCTGCGATGAAGATGGAATTACAAACACACCCTTGGTCATATCTTGATTTTTTTGCGTATGAAGATTGAATCATAACCACACTTTTGGGCACATCTAACGGTTTGAATATTTGTCTGTGCTATAAAGATTGCTAAAAATACTTTTGATAATATCAAAGAGCTTGAAATTTTTTTTCGTCTGATGAAGATTGTATCACCAAAAAATTACGCTTTCCATCATATTATCTAAGAGTTTGATTATTTTTGTCATTATGAAAACTGATAATATGAAAATTAAATCATAAACACACCAACCTCTTAACAGAAACAGCAAAGAGGAACACAAACCTATAAATCTTCAATCATCGGTCATAAAATCTCTCACTCCTATCTGCCACAACCCTAGACAAAAGCGACTCGCGGAACCCACACAGACACAAGAGACACCTACCGAGCAGGCTGGAGAAAGGTGGAAAGTGAACCCAGAAATGTGTTGGGAAACCGAAACGCTAAGTTGTTTGCTGAAGTTTGCTTTTTTTTTTTTTTGGTCGATCCCCCTCTTTTTCCTACTTTTCACTTACCTTTTCTCTCTGTTTCAGTGGTGGCTCTATCTCGTCTGTGACGTCGTGGCTTTTGGCTGGGGACGAGGGCTCCTACACACACACACAGAGCATGCAGCATGCCAAACGAAAGAAACGCAAAAATAGATAGAAAGGAGAAGATGAGCTCTTGAGGATGAACAAGGAAGTATGCGGGGTGCTGGGATATACGAAAGGTAAATAGCCTGCGGCAGAAATTGTGCTGAGTTAGGGGGGAAAGAGAGAGAGAGA